GGGGGGGGGATGCCTTACTCTGCTGCTTGTCATACTCCGTGAGATAGTCCTCGAACTCTTTCGAGTACGTGGACTGCCAGATGCGTTCAACACTTTGGTTGCCTTTGCGCAGAAAATCCTCCAACCAGTTGGAAGACAGTTCGAGGTCGGGATGCACTGGAGCAAGCGCCATGTCGAGGATACAAAAAGTCAAGTCTTATTGAAAATGGAGTGCACTTTCGCGCTGTCTAACTCGTAGTAGTGCGAGCCCGCCACGTTCACAGCACACTGCTTCAAAACCTGCACCACCTGCAACAGATCAATGACCAAGACGGAACAGTGCAACACAGAAACAATGACACACAGAAGCAATGACACACAGAAGCAAGGACACACAGGCAAGGATGGGAGGTCGGATGGGAGGTCGGGTGGCCTACGGTTTCGGCGGAGGGGCGGTCGGTGGGCAGGCGGGCGCACATGCGATTGATGAGTAGGCGCCAGCCGGCGAAAGCGTCGTGTTGGAAGTAGGCGGGGAGGATGCCACGTTCGCGGTACTGGCCGAGGAGTTGGTGCCGTTCATGGGCAGTGGTCATCTTGTGGCTGAGAAGTTCGACGAGGACAAGGCCGCAAGAGTAGATGTCTGCCTTCTCGGTGCAGGCGACACCGCCTTCGGGAGCGGCGTAACTGGGTGTGCCAATGACGGCGCCCTGTGTGGTTGTGCTCACGCTCTTCAAACTAAAAGTGCGCGTCAAATCCGCGATCGAACGCGCAAACGAGTAGCCATGCGGCGCCAATGTCCCAGCCTGCGCCGTGTCACGTCGTCGAACCAACTTAGACAATCCAAAGTCGCCAATCTTCAACCGTGGCCCGTGCACAAAGATGTTCTCTGGCTTCACATCCCGGTGCACAATGCCCTGGCTATGGATGTCCCGCATTCCCTTTATCATGTACTTAAAGTACACCAACTCGTACCGCCCCGCGCCGTTCCTATCCATCAAAGGCGGTGTCGCGCGAATTGGACTGCAACACAGTGGCTAAAGTGGGAAGTGGCTGGGGGGG